CCATTGGCCCTCAGTCCACAGCAGCTGCGAAGCAACTGTCCAAGGCGGCGGTCCGACCTGCGACGCCGCGGAGGGTGCTAAGAATTTCTAGGTCTGGACAGGTCGCCATTGAAATCTGAACTTCGCTACGTTCAACGCTAGAACGCTATCTAGTGAAGCTAGTCTAGCTCTGTGCTATTTGAGGAATTAGAGAGTATCAAACGGGACCTAATAGGACTCAACGAAGTTAGGGTTCGATTGATTGATTTGTGGGGTTTAACGTCCGAAAACCACCATATGATTCTGAGAGACGCCATAGTGGAGGGCTCCGGAAATTTCGACCACCTGGGGTTCTTTAGCGTGCACCCAAATCTGAGCACACGGTCCTACAGCATTTCTGCCTCCATCGGAAATGCAGCCGCCGCAGCCGGGATTCGATCCCGCCACCTTCGGGTCAGCAGCCGAGTACCTTAGCCACTAGACCACCACGGCGGGGCTCAACAAAGTTAGGAGGACACGTGAGGCTTATACAGTGCTGAAGAACGGACACATACTATGCTATCGTGGATTAGTTGACAGAAAGAACTAAGGGTGTCTTTTTTTTGAGATAGCAATTATATGGACACTTTCGGCTGGATTTTGCCGCCGACATCGGCGTCGATGTCATGCTCCGTATATGTATACGTATCAGTATATATGAAAACGTAAGAAAGAAAAAAAAAATGGCCCCATATCTGCATGTTAATCTGCAAATGTCGTCGAAAGACAGTAGTCTTGCGTGTGGAGAGAGTCAACAAAACATTTATTTGAGGTTCTGCGCAAGAAAATCTGTGAATGGTATTCTGGAGGCGCAGCGTTAGAGTGCCTCGAGCGTGCAGCGGAGGCGAACGAACGCATCAAGTCACGTCACACGTGAGACATGAGCACCATCTGGCAGTTTATTTTTTTTTTTTTTGGGGGGGGGGGGACAAAGCGCGTGGCTCTGAGACGGGTGTGCGCGCCCGTCTCAGAGGTGATAAGGTGTAGAACGCAAGGCGACAGGTAGGTGCCACTACCGTCTGGTTTTAGCCAAGCGTTGGAAACACTCGTCTTTACGTGCAAGCGTTGCATGGTCAGCGCAACGTGACAAGCGCTACGGTCCTTAAAATTACTTATGTATGCCTTTTCTAGTAAAAGATGCACATGCAGAATATATACGTGTTGTTAAGGTGCCCCAGACATGCGCAATTATTGCTTTTTAACTGACAATTGCACAAGCATGAACGCTGAATCTTCAGCAACATTGGTGGGCGCTGCGGATGGGGTCGGCCGTTTTAAGTACCCGATGCCGTTAAGAGTGGACAAACAGACAAGTGTACAGACAACCAGACAGGCCAAAATTTTTGCGTCGAAGGTCCCCAAGAAAGACTCTCGTTTTTAAAAATCAAGAAAAGAGACTACGGCGCACGGAATCAAACGTGGGAACTCTCCGTCGTGAATGCCAGGCGTTACCACTGAGCCACCGTGGCGTACCTCCACGGGTCGTCAAACGGCAAGCTATTTATATCTACCACTTACCGCTGTTAGGGGACGTCTCGGGAGGAACTGTCGCGTTTTCAGCATTATCAGCAAGATGGCGCAGTGAGCACGCGGCGGCTCACGGCCGCTCTCATCTCTGACGCGTACTTGGGCCCACGTAGAGAATAAGGGGATGTACGTTTGATCACGCGCCCTTACCTTGCAGTGGAAAGAATCGCACGTGCCCAGCGCACAAAAGTCACTGCAATCGTTGCACATCCGTTTGCTCAAAGGGCGCGCTTTTCAGACAGGGCGAAGCAACAACTGAGACTGTTCATCTGTACGTGTGAGTACGTTTCGTGCGTTATTTGTGCGTGAGCAACGCGGGGCACGTTTCGATCTGCTTGCCATCCTGCGCGTGACCTTTCAATTTGTTGCAATCGCGTTCATTGCTTCGCCTTTGCGGCAAAGCTGTGACTTTTTTTTTATTCACAGAAATGTCGCTGGCAACATAGAGGAATACTTTAGCATCAGTGAAAGGGTAGCAAGTATCGTAATTAAGTTTAACAAAAGGTACATGATGAATGTGGGACAAACCTATGCGCCTGCATTGAACCATGATGATCGTTTGATTGAACGCTTCTATGGAGACATAGAGTCAGCAATTAATAAAGATACAGTACACAATACTAATTGGCAACTTAATGCCAATGTAGGCAAGAAACAGGCCGCAGACCATTAGGTGAGGGAATATGGCATCAGCTCTAGAAATGCCAAAAAAGGGTTATTAGTAGAGTTTGCAGAACATAATAATATACGGATCTTGAATACCTTCTTCAAAAAACAGGCTAAATATAGTTGGATGTGGCGAGGTCCTAATGGGGCAACTGAAAATTAAATATACTTTATTCTGTGTGCACACCCAGGCATTGTACAGGATGTAGAAGCAGTTGGGAAGATCTGATGCAGTGACCATAGAATGGTAAGAGCTCGTATGATTTGATATGTGGGGTCTCACGTCCCAAAACCACCATATGAGAGACACCGTAGTGGAGGGCTCAAGATATTTCCACCACCTATGGTTATTTAAGGTGCACCCAAATATGAGCACATGGGTCAACAGCGCTTTCACCTCCTTTGAAAATGCAGCTGCCGCAGCTGGGATTCAATCCCACGAGCTGCGGGTCAGCAGCAGTGTACCTTAGCCACTAGACCACAGCGGCGAGGCTAGAGTTCGTATTCACGTATGTAGATATAAAAAAGCAAAAGCATAAACTGATATGCAAGAAGCCAATAAATGAGCTAGTAGTGAGAGAGAAAGTACAGGAATTCAGAGTTTTGCTTCAGAATAGATTTGAAGCACTAAACGGGATAACCGACGTTAGTATTGACACAATGAACGAAAATTTTACTAGTATCATTAAAGAGTGTGCAATGGAAGTCGGAGGTACAGCCACTTGAGAAGACACTGGCAAACTATCTTAGGGCAAAACCATGAAAGCCTTTAATGCAACCAATAAATAGAGCTAGTGGAGCTTTCGAAGTTGACCAATAGGCTTAAAGTAGCCGATATTTGTAGGTAAAACTCGGAGAAAATTGAGCGGGCTGTAAAAAAGCGGCAGAACCCTGAAAGCTTGATTGATTTGTGGGGTTTAACGTCCCAAAACCACCATATGGTTATGAGAGACGCCGTAGTGGAGCGCTCCGGAAATTTTGACCACCTGGGGTTCTTTAACGTGCACCCAAATCTGAGCACACGGGCCTCGACATTTCTGCCTCCATCGGAAATGCAGCCCCCGCGGCCGGGATTTGACAGAAGCCTGAAAGCTGCGAAGGCAAACTTGTGAATAGGCAATATCGAATATATGCATTAAAAGACGAGGAAGGCAATGTCATAACCAATAAGGATAGGATAGTTGAGGTGGCGGAGGAGTTCTACAGAGAGCTATACAGAAGCCGAAACAACCAGGATGATATCGTAAGAAGCAACAACAGCTCAGAGGAATTTGACACTCTAGCAGTAACGACAGGGGAAGTAAGAAAAGTTCTAGGAGAAATGCGGAGGGAAAGCCACTGGTGAGGATAAGGTAACAATGAACCTGTTCAAATATGGTGGAGAAATTGTGTTAGAAAAACTGGCCACCTTATATACAAAGTGTCTCTTGACAGGAAGGGTACAAGAATCTTGGAAGAATGCCAACATCATCTCAATTCATAAGAAAGGAGATGTCACGGACTTGATAAATTACATCCCGATCAGCGTACCGTTCGTTCTGTGCAAACTATTTGTAAAAATAATAGCTAATAAAATGAAGGCGGTATTGTAGTTCAATACACCAAAGGACCAAACAGTATTTCGTACGGGCTACTCCACAATAGACCAAAATCATACTATCAAAAAGGTGATAGAGAAATGCGCGGAAGACAACCAACCCTTATGTATAGTCTTCATATAGATTACGAGAAGGGGTTTGAATCAGTCGACACATCAGCAGTAATGCAGGCACTACAGAATCAGGTCATCGACAAACCCTACATAAACATACTGTAAATCTGCAGCGGACCCACAGCCACCATAGTTCTTCTTAAGGAAAGCAACAGAATGCCAATACGAAGGTTGCAAGGAAGCGGGACACGATCTCCCCAATAGTATTAACCGTCTGTTTACAGAAGGTTTTCAGGGGCCTAGATTGGGAAGAGTTAGGGATAAGAGTTAATGGAGAGTATCTTAGTAATGTGCGATTGCTGACGAAATTGCCTTGATAAGAAACTCGGGGGACGAATTGCAACTCGTGATTACTGGACACGGAAAGCAGAAAGTAGGTCTGAAAATTAATATGCACAAAACTAATGTGCAACAGTCTCGGCAGAAAACAGCACTTTGAAATAGATGGAGAGACGCTGGAAGTTCTACTTGAATATGTATACTTAGGACAGGTAGTAACTGCGGAGCCGAATCATGAGAGCAAAATAACTAGACAAATAAGGATGAGGTGAATTGCATTCGGCAAGCATTCTGAAATCATGAATGACAATCTGCCACTAACCACCCTGAGAAAGGTATATAACAGCTGCATCTTGCCGGTACTTACTTACGGAGCAGAAACCTGGAGGCTTACAAAGAGGGTTCAGCTTAATTTGAGGGCGACGCAATGAGCGATGGAGAGGAAAATGATAGGTAGGAGACAAAAAGAGAGCAGAGTGGGTCAGGGAACAAACCAGGGCTAAGGATATCATAGTTGAAATCATGAAGAACAAATGGACATGGGCCGGGCATGTAGCACGTAGGCAGGATAAGTGCTGGTCATTAAGGATATTCCCAGAGAAAGCAAACACACAAAGGGGAAACAGAAAGTAAGGCGGGCCGATGAGATTAAAAAGTTGTCAAGTATAACATGGCAGCAGGAAGCACAAGACCGGGTCGTTTGACGGATCATGATGATGATGATGATGAAGTGCAGTGCCAATGCAAAGGGCTATCTACCTTTTGCAAAGGCAGGCCCCAAGAAACACTCGTACAAAAGTGATGAATAATGTCTCATGCTTTATTGCAGCCTTCGTTTCTAGAGTCGGTGCTCTAACAAAGTGTGGGCAAAAATCATACTTAACAGGTAACAACTTACTTTCAAAATAAACGTTAATTTCAAACACCATGGAAAATAAACATATACAACACTTGCCAATAGACGATAAAACACTGCTAAAATAATGAGGGGACAGAAAAGCACACATTTGACATAGTTAATGTTTTGAGAGAATGAAAGAAAAAAATTAAATGAAAAATACAAAAAGCTCCTTTTTAGCACCAAATCAAATGATCTGAAAGAAATATGTTCAAATGCTAGAAAATTTGCATTAAAACAAAAAAAAGCTGCCCATTTCATAGAAACTACAGGAAGATTACGTGACAAGCTTGGATGATTCTGAACCTAAGCAGAACTAAAATAAAATTGCTTAAATATCTTTCACAGCCTTAATGCCATATAGTAATCACAGACCACAATGTTTACTGTCACTTAAACACTGTGAACAGCCGCAGAATGGATGATACGTACAGAAAAGGAACGTATGCATTGGTACTGGACGGAGTTTTTATAGCACATACACACAGACCTAGAAATATAGTAATATTTCACAATAAAATTATCCTATTTTGAAAAAAAAAAAAGGAAGAACGAGAGTGCAGATGTCCGCATTTAAAAATCTTCAATCAGAAGGTAATTCAGAGAAATAAGCATTTATTCTATGCATACATTTGTTGAGTAATATCAGCCTTTAAACAGTATGCAGTTTAAAAGCCAATAAATGTTTTCAAAATAAAATAAAGAAGGAAGGAGACTATACTTGGGGACAACTTTCTGTGGCAATGAAGGGAAGGCTACGTGGGCGGAGCTACTGCTCCTGTACTCCTCCGCAAAGTAGTCAAGTTCGGCTCGCGTTTCGAATGATTGATTTATATATGGGGTTTAATGTCCCAAAACCACTATATGATTATGAGAGACGCCGTAGTGGAGGGCTCCGGAAATTTAGACCACCTGGGGTTCTTTAACGTGCACCCAAATCTGAGCACACGGGCCTACAACATTTCCGCCTCCATCGGAAATGCAGCCGCCGCAGCCGGGATTCGAACCCGCGCTCTGCGGGTCAGCAGCCGAGTACCTTAGCCACTAGACCACCGCGGCAGGGCTCGCGTTTCGAATGACGGCTGCGTTCATGTAATCCCACTGCACACAATTTGATTCACCTACTTACACAGCCATTTGTGACAAATTTGACACAAGCTTTTTCGGCGAGTCGTCGGAATAGCTGGAGGACGACGCGCGCTCACCTAAAGATGAAGATAGCATTTTGACTGCGAGGTACACGTAAAACATGCGATGTTTTCAGATGCGCAAAAACGCAAAATGACTCTTCAGAAAGCAACAACAAATAACAGTATCTCCTCGGCACCTGCGGCGTCTCTTCATAAACAGCATCAAGTACAAAATAATGTTGATCTTTTTTTGTTACTTTCACACGGAAAACACAGACGCGTTCGTGGCACTATATTCTACAGAAGTGGCACATGCCCACTTTGGCTCTGTAGCCTCCTCTTCATTGCCACAGAAAGTTGTCGCCGAGTATAGACTAATACATATGAACATAAACACAAGAAGCAAAGAAAACATGATGGAGATTTCTTGAAATAATATGAAAAGGCTTCAGCTATGCAAAATCATGATTAAATTATATGTAAAAATGAAACTGGCAGTATTGGTAAGATCAGTTTTACTAAAACAATCTAGAGCAAGAAAGAATATCTTAAAGATTTGTACTATAGTTTGGCAAAATGGAAGGAACTACTCCAGCAAGTTAAAAGCTATGAGACCTTTTTAGACGTGCCTAAATTGAGGCAAGTGCAACAAGATTACAGATCTGTTTTGTGTAAGGGAAACTTTGTGTAAAGAAGTCTAAACAACCAAACTTAATTCTACAAGAACTTACCCATGATCAAGACAGAAGTCTCAACATTAAAGCACACGTGACCTACCCCCAATAAAAAAAACCAGTCAAGCAAAGCCTAGTATACAAAGCATATCCGAAGTGCTCAGTTTCAGCTATCCTTAATTTCTCTCCATGCAAATGATTTTACGTAAGATAACTTGTCGCGATCAGGCAATATTTTTATGACGTTGTGAATTTACATAACCAACCTACATTTTCCTGCATAAGGCATATGTATAGCATGTTTTGCTGCACACATGTACACATACTACAGTGGAATGTTATAGACCTTATCTTGTGCTCCAGCAAATAACAGAATCAAGATGTGAAACATTGTGCAAAAGTGGGAGAATGAAGGTCAAAAATGAACTTGGCAAGTATGTTATGGCAGTAAGTGAACTATACCCCATAGGAGCATGTGCATGTACGTATGAGCAGCAACAATAGAAGTGTTTGCTTTTGGCCTGAACATGTTAATGCAGCCGGTACATTTTCTACTGTGAAAGTGCTTTTAGAGTTGAAAAGCTTACATAAACGGCTTATCTGTGTAGTCTGAATTGCAGTAACAAATGGTATCATCACATGCAATAACCTTTAATTTAGCAAAGAACTAACCATTCTTGAGGGAGTTCAGCCATTTCTATCCCCTAGACCACAAGTTACAGGACCTTACTTGCACATGTAACTGATGTGGTGCCTGCCACATGCACAAAACAAGTGCACCAAAGTCTCAGTACAAAAGCCGTTAAAACCAAACAATACACTTTCGTTCACATAAAATATACATTGTGAATACCATAAGAGCCAGGCACAACCATTCCAAATGACACTACTGTGCGAGTTACATAACTTCACATGTTGAATGCGGCATTAAGGCAAACCTTTAGAAAAGACAATCGGGGGGAAAATGCAGGTGTACATATACACACGGACTGTGCTCCCTGGCAAAATGGGAGAGAGAGAGAGAGGGGGCATCATTAAGCGCCCCATCAGTGCTTTGAAGACGCCACTGCTACTAGTCCCAATCCTCCCTGAGGAAGGAACCAAGTCGGTTCCAAAACGGTGGATTTCTTCACATACTTTTGATTGGAGTTGAAATCATTTCCCAGTTTTCATACCAAATCAGACAGACATCTGTTGAATGTTTACATTCAAGTAAGTCGTACATAGTATGTATAATTTTGACAGCCATCAGACAGATGAAACAGTGAAGCGATATGGTAGACTATTTCGGTTCTTTGAAATGTGCAGTGCCCACGGATTCAAATGTGGCATCATTTTTGTAGAGCTCAGAATAATTGCATTATGACGAGACTAGTCTGGTCTCAAAAGGTAATGTTGGCTCTCATTCATGCATTCAAGTCGAAACCACACAAATGTGACCCAAACTGAAGATAGTGAAAACGAAAGTACGTGCCTTATTCAGCCATAAATTGTCCTGGTTCAATCCATGACTACTGTCTATGACAATAATTTCTGAAGTTAGGCAACATAAACACCACCATAAAAAACATTCTTACAATTAGAAAATACACTGCAAGTACACTTTTACATAGTAGAACTATGCTGAATTACTGACAATCAAAGGCAGACTCGAGAGTTTCATCTGTCTCTAAGCATAGTTTTTGGCAATGCCTGTAGGCACTTCAGGCATTTCACTTTCAAGAGCACAGGTATCAGTACTTGTCCAGCTCTACTGCTGAAATAATTGCAGACACTGGATTCAAGAATACCAGCCATAAATTGCGATTCAATCAGAACAATGTTGGTGTATACGAGCATCTAAATGCCAAATTGTGTACTAATATAATTAGGATTCCTTGCCTACATGACGTAATTAGAAACCTTCTCAGACCGGTATTATATTTCAGAGATCCCTAACTTTTTAGCCAGTGTTCCAATATTTATCCAACTTTAAAGCAACACTGATCATCACAAAAGGAAATGCTACTGATCGCACACATGCCGTAGGCATCAAGTGATGTTTTACCGTGCCTTCAAGCCTTGAAATTGGCAGGCTCCACATATAAACAATGGACATAGCTGCAATATTTGTGAAAATCAAGATACCTTGTTGCATGTCATTTCAAGTTTGCACAGACTGGCAGCCATTTGCAAACACGAAACCATGGCTAAAGCGGGACCATCCCTATGGTAGCTACTAGTGCACTACGGCTACACTCAAGTGATGCCATAGTCACGTAACATGAATTAATAAATACAGTATACAGCTGATGTCAACTGAAAAACCTGCAGCAATCAAAACATGCATCTGCTAATTTTAAACTATTTTATGGTTTTACTGTTGCTTTTGCTTGTGGCTCATTGAATTACAGTATCATTTTCATTACTTCGATTCAAAATTTATATCCAGAAACAAAGCTAACGAAGCTACATGAAATGCTGAAGCCCCTAGCTACAGGACACTCCGTGTAAAGGACATTTATGCATAGTACAAGAAAGGTAGTCAATATTGTGAAGCTAGCAATTCTAACATACCCTATTTGAAAACTCTACAAAACACAAGTTCTTTTACATTATAAATGGTCATGCTTTCACATAACTTATGAAGTCTGGCTGTCATACTTGCTTTGATGATCTGCAAGTGTCAAAGAAACAAGAACAATTATGTCTTGTAGTGCATTGCAAGAAAGCCACTAGCAAAGTTCCTCACAAGTTCTTGACAATATTCTCTCCCTTTCTTGTACTCTGCACAGATATGCTCAGTTTATGATGACATCTATGGCATAGAAAATATAGAACGTGGCCACAAGAATAACGTTACAAACAGTTCCTGTGTGCGATGCCTATCTATTTTTACCCGAGTCCAGATGACACTGTTTTAGCAGTTCTTACAGATTACCAGCACACCAGAACTGCCACTCAGGTACATGTTACAATGAAAATATTTCATGAAAATTAAGAAAGAAAAAGCCGGATGAAAATGGACTTTGACTAAATACAGCTCCAACATAATTTGCGTTTATATCAATACACAATAACGTCAAGCATGCTTGGTTTGTGGTATCAACATTGATCACAGTAATTTTCCTTCATTCAATCACAACTCTCACAATAAAATCATGATGTGGCTTTCGCACGTTGGGGACACAGTGCAGCACGAATCACAGAGTACAAACATTCCATTAGATGAAAGGCTAGCTCAGAAAATGACAGCAGCCGTTCCCACTCAAAAAGAGTGTTACACGAGGCTAAACGAAGACCAATACAGCAAACCATATTGCACATACACCGAGTGCTGCAAACATATCTCATATGCAGTAAATCTACAAGAACTGACAGCTTGAATATTGAGCACTATTCAATTCTCATTTTCTTAAGGAAGTTGACGTTTTGCAACTTGTATTTTGCAAACACAAGACATGGTGCATTCACAAAAGCTTGACGTAAGCTTTACATTCATACAATGGCGGCCCCCATTTGAAAGTTTTAGGTGACAACTGGTAATTGTCAACTTTGCCCTAATAGCAATAGGTGGCTATTCCTAAAACGACTGCACAGATGGATGGCTTATTCTCTGCTATACCCCCTAATCATACTAGTAGTTGTTGTAATGGTTGTACTACCTTCTGGAAGTGCTGCATTTCATCATAGAGTAGGATACTTTATTAGCTAATTGCAAAAAAATGAGACTGCACATTTCAAAGAAGTGATCAGTTTTTATGCTTGAACAGAATTGCTCGGCTCACTCCTTGCCTATACAGCCATCAGGAGTAGTATACTATGTTTTGCATAAAGGCCGTGTTATCACAGTTAAATCTCCATAGCCGTTTCCGTAGCAGGCACCTCATGCTGACCAAAGAGTATGCTACTTTTGCACAAGTAAAGCGATTCATACTGTAAGTCAAGCAAAATATGCAAGTTAAATATGATTTATCTTGTTAAGTCTGCCATATTTCTACCGAATCACTAACAAAATATGTAAACGAGAAGCATGAGAAGAATTTGTTGCTATAGGCTATCAAGGAGAAGCCAAAAGACAATGAAAATCTCCCTTTCACTGTGTTTTGTTTTCAAAGTATGTAGCCTCATCATGTGAATAAGACTTTCGAGATGGGTGGTACCCTTGAGTTAGGTTTGGTTCCTGCTTCTTGTGGTTAATATTTTCATCTGCATGTTAGAACAGAATTTCGCAGTTGTGTCAGATACATATTGCATTCTTGATTGATCATATGTAAAAATACCTAATACCTGCATTTCAACACGATGCCTTATGCTTTATTAAGCATAATGAATGATGCTATTTGCCTCCATAAATTAGACCCACCCAGACTAGAGTTTTTATTGTCACAAACATATGGTTTAGGTTTAGAAATGACGAACTCAAAAGTGATTAATTAATAATTTATAGGTCCAGGTTAAATAGAATATTTTTGCATTTCATAACTTGCTTTTAAAAGTGAACCATATTCCACTCATACCTGTGCTGACACAAGCGAGTGTTCATTATTAAATTTTACAAGCATGCTTTAATGCATTGTTTAAGGAATACTAGTTTGTATTTTCTTTTGCCTTTCAAGTGTTCCTTCTTTCTTAACTTGCCTTGCATGGATCAGTACTTGATTCAATTTGAAGCCAATTGAGAGTAATAAGAAATGGATAATAATTATACATTGGACTGATGGCTGATTTTACAAATACAGTAATATGGAACACTAATATGTGTGATGACTTGAAAACTTTACTGAGAAGCTCCCCAGCATTTCCTCATTCCTAAATATGTTATATATCAGCCAAAATTATGGTGGCTTATGAAAGCAGCAACTATAAGATAAATTTAAAAAACGTTTTCTGATACACCAATGGTAAGCCACAGGCAAATATGAAAACTGTAAAAAATCTAACATTTTTTAAATTCAAACTAAAAGCTAAAATTATACGTTAAGAAACCAGATCACTTACAGCAAGTCATCCTTAAGATTCAACACAGAGGTTGTTGAGAAGCTTTACAAAGCATTTTAATTCCTCATTCTGCTATAAGTGTTTATCTTAATAAGGAGGCCTAGGTAACAATAGACATGACGATCACTACGAATATGTAGATGCAATGCATGGTAATCGCACTAAAAAGAGTTTAAAGCTTTGATGATGATTGATAATAATGTCGTACTTTGTGCTAGAAGATATTGGTGTTACTATAGATGCTTTCAACAAGTGAACATGCTGAACTTCAGATCGAGCTGTGCTAATTAAAGATAACAGTGGAAGCACTATTCTTTCCACAAAACCAGTTTTGTGTGGAAATGGTGTCACCTGTCCCTACAAAAACACTTGGCTACTTGTCCACAGGTAGGTTCTTCTCTACAGCTAATGACTAACGTGATGTGCACTGACTGCACACTTTGATAGGCTTCATCTGCAAGTACTCCATATCTTTCAAGAAGCAATAAATACAGCTGAGTTACTACGTACAGTACTTGGCACAGACCAAAACAGTAAACCAAAGCATATTAACTGCAGCTGCACCATAAACTTGCCAGAGGCCAGGGTCATTGCGGCTCAGAAAAAACAGTAGCAAAATAGAAGATTAGATCCTTCATACAACGTAAGTACCAAGCATATTTACTAGCATTGCTACTGATTCATTCATGTTTTGGGTGAAATATGGTTTGAAAATCACGCTGCAATACTCATCATTTCAAAGCCACGAATCTGGTCTTTAGAACAGCATTCAAGCAGATGCATCACACAATCAAATAGGCATTCAGTCAACTTTAGGTGCGCAGACACTTAGCGAAAAATTCCAGTGCCAACCATGACTAGAGGCCCGTGTAAACTGGGTCCCGACGACTTTCTGCAACCAGGGAGCTGATTTCAGTTGGATTCTGAGACTGACGCTTCCATCTGGTGTAGTAATATCGGGCTGACAAGATTCCTACCATTAGGACAACAGCTGCAAAGACGAAACAACAAAAAGAAGTAAGATAACAAACAAAATCTATTATTCCATCACAGTGGAACCAACACATATTTTACCCACTTCTGCAGTAGCTCCACTTGTGCATAGACATGCTACTTATTTTCAGTTAGCTGGCAGTGCATCCCATTAATGAATAATCCTGTTTTGCTTATGGCTTCTAGCTTATATTTTTTTTACAAGCAAACAATTCAATATGAGGGAACACAAAGAACCGAAAAAATGCATCGGCACTAATCAAATGTCACCGTTTCTTGCTCCACGCGGACAAGCAAGAGTTCACGCAGCATCTCAACTGGCTGGTGCCTGAATATGGCGACCACAGTGACATCAGTACAAGTTACGTATATCTAATATGTTTTTTCCACTGTTGCACTGAGGATAAACACACGCCAAATGATTCGAATAAAGGGCAGTACACTGTTGAAGCACAAAGCAGGTTAAAAAAAAAGCCAAGCTTATGCGGAATATGCAGCATAGTCACAGCAAAAGCTGGAGGAAGGGGCTTTTTAGAACCTTATGTCATAAAACGAGGTTGAAATGAAGTAGCAACACATGCATCCATCTTACAGATTGACAAGCTCACTACCATGTAGTGAAACAGACAAAGCTAACACAGAGGTAACCTGTATGGTAGGCCTTGAATGCTTTGCCAATGCCTCATACCCTTTCCTGGCTATACTTGGTCACAATTTAACTTCACATATGCCAAATTTGGTATTACATGACACCAATGGATCCCCAAAGTACGTGACTGGTGCAAACTTGGTGATCATGAGATGCGTGTCATGTGAGAACATGACTACATGCCACAGTCAAGGCGCCAATACATTTTGACGTGACGTGGTTTGCGTGCTCGCCGGCGTTCACTTTTTCACGTCATGCCGGCGTTGCCACGCCAGGCGCCGGTCCTGCCATATACTCGCAGGCGCGCCCTGGGCTGCGTTTCAGCGTCCCTCCGTTACGAGAAGAGGGAGACGCACTGTTGTCTGGGTAATGTATCGGCACCAAATGCAGCATGTCGCCTTTCGCGCCGGTTGCCGTCGGGCTGCGCCGACGGACGCTGCTCGCACCTGGCGTCAGACTATAGAGAGCTCGTGTTTTGCTAGGGTGGCGTCGCTGTGCCCAGCGTGCGCGCATGACAATGCTACAATGGAGTATAGTGGGCACTCCATGATGCGCTCGCGACCATTTTGCTAGCTTTACATATACCAAACTTGGCGTTACGTGACATAAATGAATGACGAAATATATGACTGGTGTAAACATGACAATCCTGACACACGCGTGTCATGTAAGAACATGATAACATACCACGCTCATAGCGTGCTCGCGGCCGTTTCGCTAGCTCCACATATACTCAATTTGGTTTCACGTGACTTGAATAGATGACGAAGGTAAACGACACATCCAAACTTGATAATCATGACAAGGAACTCATGTACGGCATCATTCTTTTTTTTTTATTTAAGTATACTGCAGACCTTCTCTGTCCAAGCAGGAGTGGTACATATGATATACAAACAATGATGTCACTTACAGAAAGGCACCGACACAATCCAAGAAAAGAAAAAAAAACTATTGAATTCCAAGTAGCCAAAACAACAGTGTCATAATGCAACGTTCAGAATCATGCTAAAAGGACAAACCAGTCCAAAGGAAAGAAACTGCTCACAATAAATCCCTATTCGTACATTTGCGTCTATTGTTAAAAACTTATAGTTTTAATCTTTTCAATAAAGGATTCTACGGTGTCACAGTTCACAGCTATTATTGTAAGTTGATTCCAATATGCAATTGATGACGAAAAAACAGAGGTTTTGTGAATGTTGTTGTGACTTGTGGGCAGTCGTATTGTCTTATTGTGGTTAGTTCTTGTGGAATGCCTGAAAGGTTCAAGAAGATAGTCTGATCTGGATTATATTTCCCATGATAAAGAAGATACAGGAATTTAAGTTTAGAATGTATTCTCCGTTTGGAAAGGCAATGAAGTTCGGCTCTTTTACGCAGATTAGTAACACTGGTATACCTGGAGTAATCGGAAAACACAAATCGAACTGCTAAGTTTTGCACTCGCTCAATTTTACTAATGAGAAATTTATGATGTGGACTCCAAATTATATCGGCGTATTCTAGTGCTGGTCTAATCAGGGTCTTATAGGCGGTTAGCTTTACTGCAGGGGGAGTGTTACGGAGTTTTCTCTTTAGGAAGCCCAATTTACCTTGCCCTTTCGTACAAATAGCAGTTATATGTGGACCCCAATTAAGGTAGGATGTTTATGTAACTCCCAAATATTTAACTTGATTGCTTTTAATAATTTCTAAATTGTCTATTGTATAAGCAAATTTGAGCAGTTTTTTCTTATTCGTGAAAGTTATGGCTACGGTTTTCCGCGCGTTCAATGTCATTCCCCACTGGGAACACCAGGCTTGAATTTTTGTTAATGAGTGATTAAGGTTAATCTGGTCCTCAGTTCGATTTACCCTTGTGTACACAACGCTCATTCACTTCATCTCGTAATGTTGTGCTGATTTTAAAGTGACATATCAATATTTCTCATTCGTGCTTCGCATACCATCGATTCCCACTGTACGTGGAATCTGCCCATTTTTTCCTTTTTGTAAGCCAATGTAACCCTTCTATTTACTTCTTGCCACATATTACCTGTTGTGCTGAACTAGGCAAGCTGTTGAGTTAGGTTAGAAAAAGTATGAGCATGAAGGCAAAGCAAAATACAGGTATAGGCTATCTATGGTGGTGTGAAGGATTTAGATTAGATTATGTGCATGAAGGCAAAGCAAAACACAGCTATAGGCTATCTACGGTGGTGTGAAGGATTAAGATTAGATCATGTAGTGATGCCAGTACCAACATTTGTGACTGCCATTATCTGCATAGTGAGAGACTTTATCCAAGTTGAATGTGCACGAAAAGTTTATTTGCTAAATTAGCATTTACAATAAAACATTACAACCTCGGTCCACTGTGAATTCAGTACCCTGAATGAATTTTTCGGGGCCAGTCCTAAGGGTAGCTGTGTGGAACTTATGATGAATTCGATTGGTCACTTTTTAACGCTCCTGTATGCTATGAAAAGTGGTAGTGTAGTCCGGGTGGAGTGAAGTTCTCAAGACTTGGATGGTTCTTTTGGAGCACTTGCAACTGCTACATTTTTATGGAGTGAGAGCATGGATTTAATCTGGTTAAGAGGAGGTGTCACATACTGTAGTTTGCACTAGTTACGATTTCCTTGTACAACGAAATGGTAGAGAACAGGCTAGTCGTTACGGTTAGACTTTGCTCTCACTGTTTGCATTATGGAGGCACAGCAGTACGTAAGTGGTAAAATTCTCTTCCGCTTCATCTCATGTCACAGCAACAACAAAGTATTTGCAATGTTTTGTCCCAGTTATTTAGATTCACTGTTTGTTTTGACCAGTGCGTCGGAACGAAATGTTTTTCGTTTCAGTTTTAGTTTTATTTCAGTGCAAAAAGTTCCATTCCAATGCTGTTAAGTATTGACTTCCCTTGGTCAGGCCAAGGTTCACCCCATCCTTATTCTTCTAGCTATTTCACTCTCATGGTTCAGCTTCGTGGTTACTACCTTTCCTAAGTAGACATATTCCTTTCAACTTCCAGCATTTCTCCACCTATCACAAAGTAGTGTTTTCCGCACACTACTTCAGTTTTGTGCACATTAATTTTCAGAGCTACTTTTGTGCTTTCCATGTCCAGTTCAGTAATCATGAGCTGTAATTCGTCCCCTGTGTTACACATCAAGGCAATGTCATCAGTGAATTGCTGGTTACTAAGATACTCTCCATTAACTATTATTCTTAACTCTACCCAATCTAGGGTCCTCAAAACCTCCTGTAAACACGCGGTGAATAGAATTGGAAAGATCGTGTCTCCCTGCCTTACACCCTTCTTTATTGGGATTCTGTCGCTTCCTTTATGAAGAACTAAGATGGCTGTGGACCCACTGTAGATTTCTTCAAGTATGCTTATGTAGGGTTCTTCGATGCCCTGAACACAATAGAACGTATTAACACTAAAGGGTCCCTGAGAAGTGTCAAAGAAACATCGTGAATAATGAGAGACCACACAAAGAAGAATACAGACAGCGCTCTATCTGTGTTCTTCGTCTGGTCTCTCGTTTTTGACGCTGTTTCTTTTTCACAATGTCGTACCAACACACCCAAGCAACCACTTTACCTGACAAGTCCCACAATAGAACTTATTACGACTGAAGGGTCCTCAACATCGTTTTGTTTAAATTTATGAAAGTAAAGATACAAATAATCAAATAAGTCGTGCCACAATTAACATAAAGAATATTGTATCAACAGAGCTACGGGCAATTTCATTTTACCCTTGTTATTACAGCTTCTTTTCCTCCTCAAATTACAAGCCTACCATAGCCGAGTGACAGGTTTCCAGTAGATGAGTGGTCACTGCTAAGCTCCATTTTTGAGTGAACTCTGTAAGACGCTTTCTTGTCTCTGACAGGCCTAATTTATTTTAAGGCAGTGCCTTTATCCTAAGCATACACTTCTGTTACGACTGTCCTATATGGGAAATGGTGGTTCAGCAGTTGAAGTGGGCAGAAATCAATAATGACTACAGTAAGCAAGAATATGGTTCAGAGCCACAAATGAGGAGGTGTCATCAGGCCACTTTTGTACCGATTGCAGCTGGCCCCACTGCAGCCTATTCTAGGTGTTGCAGCTTGTGGTTCAGTTCAGTTCAGTTCAGTTCAGTTTATTCAATCATTCAAAATACAAAATTCGTAGAGTGTAGTATGCAGACGAGGGTCCCAAAGTCAAGCGACTGCAGGGGGACCCTCGGTTAAATATAACAATAAAATGATTAATTAAAACAGCACGTAAAATACGCAACACAAAGAAAAATAAACAGTGAACTTACATAAAATAACATCAAGTAAACAAAACAGGCAGTCAGAATGCGACACAAA